AGGAACGCCCTTCCTCCCCTCCCCCCCTTCCAGCTACATCACCCTCCAGGGTAAGCACTAGGGATCCAGGCTAGACCAGGCCTTTGGGTGATGCCCCATGGTCCCCGAGTGCATTTCAGAGCAGCCCTGGAAGAACCTGGGGGCTCACTGCTCACCGCCCAGCTGGTTCTCCGCTGGTGGTGGAAGCAGCAGGATAGTCATCCGTGTTTGACCGATCAGCGGTCACCCATTCACTCCCCACCTGCTCTTTCTTGGCAGCCATCTGCTCCAGCCACCTTATTCCTGGGTCTCGGGACAGGTCAGCGCGGGTCCCCTTCCCGCGGTCTCCCTCCTGGTCCTCCGCTCCGCGCGGTGGCGCCACGGCCAAGTCCCTGAGCTGGCGCGTCGCTTCGACCCCGGAGTTTATCAGCTACGCAGTTCCAGGAAGCCGTCCGGCCGTCCCCACCGTTCGGTTTCCCGCCGAACTTTCTGCAGCTGCCGCGCGGGCCCGGGCGAGAACCCGGTTCTTACATCTGCCGGCCCCGAGCAAGCAAGTACTTGCTTGGGGTGCCGCCCACAAGTTGGGTGCTCCTCTGGGTACGAGGGCGAATCGGACACACACGACTCCTTGCTCTCCTGTACCCGTCGCCACCTTGGAGTCCGTTCTTGCCCTTGCGGGTCTGGGGAAGCTGAGATCTCGCACCAGGTCTTGGGGGCGGAGGGGGTGGTGAGTTGCCGAAAGCGGGCGGAGAGCCACGGGAGCAGTGTGCGCAGGTGGCCACAGGGTGGAGCCAGCGGCCCGCCGCCTCCGCGTGGTGCCGCCGCTCCTGCCTCGGTCTGTCCACTCAGGCGCGGGTTCTAGCCCTTCGTTAGATGAAGAGCTTAAAAAGGGTGGACTCGTGCCCGTTACGTAGCTGATTTACAGTAGAATCTACTAACACATGACAGTTGGGAACAGGAAATGACTGATGAGTGACACAAGCTGATGTGCCACCAAGTGAAAATGCAAACCGGGAACTTAACAGTGTGCAGTACTTTTTTGGCTTTTTTTGGTTTGTTTTTGTAAAGCTTAACAAAAAAATTCTACGTTGTTCAAGAAGATCTAAAACCAGCTTTCTAGGAGCTGTAATGTTGATGGCTTAGAGGTAAAAGGTGTCATCTGTTTGTAATCAGGCCGACTGTGCCACTGAGAAACACTACATCGGTCGGATGAGATCTCACCCCTTGCCCTTTACTTAGAATACTGAAAATGCTGGGCAACTGCTCTTTAAAGCCAGCTGATAATTCCTAGCGTATTTTTTTTTTTAATTTTTAAAGTTTATTTTTGAGAGAGAGAAAGACTGCAAGCGGAGGAGGGGCAGAGAGAGTGGGAGAGATGGGATCAGAAGCAGGCTCCAGGCTCTGAGCTGTCAGCACTGAGCCCGAGTGGGGCTTGAACCGTGAACTGTAAGATCTTGCCGTGAGCTGAAGTTGGATGATGAACCAACTGAGCCACCCAGGTGCCTCCCTTCCCCCCCTCCCCCCCCAGTGTACTTTTTTACAGCTCTTACCTTGTTTGCGAGCATCTGTGCTGTTTGTGCAACGTTTCCAGCTTTTTGCCGCGTGTTTACGGTAGAGTCGTGCATCCTCTTTGTGGTTGAATGGAGCTTAGCAAGCAGTTCTGACCAGCGAGGTGGAGGTGGTGTGTGTCCCCTCCCGGCCAGGGCATTGCCTTCCTGGTGCAGGATGGCCCCGTGCTTTGAGCTCTGGCACAACCGTTGACTGTGTTCCTGCCAGCACCACGTTGATCAGACTTCTCGTCTGACATTGGTGTAGCACGAATAAGTGACCAAACTCTGTTGGCTTTGATGCTCAGAGTTAGATGTTGCCTGTGACTGAACGTGTGCCAGCCGGGTACACAGCCTGACTCCCAGAGGAGTGGATCAGGCGTAGAGGCGTCCATGGGTCTGTGCCTCGACACAGGCGCACTGTGTCTTACACTGCTCTTTGCTCAGGACTCTCCCTCAAGAGCCAAGCCTTTTTTTTTTTTTTTTTTAAATAATAAAGAAGAGGCAAGGTCTTTGCATGAAAACTGTCATCAATTCTGCTTTATGTCTCTTACCGTATTCCGAGATTCAGGACATCTCGACATGGGCCAGCATATTTATTTCTAATACATGGCTTTGTCTTTAATACCTTTAAGTATGAGAGAGACACAGAAACTAACCACTGGTCTATAGGGCCTTTGTCTCTGCTAAACAGAGAATTTTTTTTTTAATCCCGAGGCACTGAATCATGATTTGGGATGGGTAAGAATGATGCCTTTCTTTTGCAAACTGGGTGAAGGGTGTGCCGGCAGGAGTATGTGGAAAAGCAGAAGTGGCTTCACACATTTACAGCGGGCGTGTTCCTAGGCGGCCCAGTGTAAGGAAAGCCCCTGCATGGAGGTGGACAGTCAGGAGCTTGGTTCGCCTAAAGCTCGCGAACACCTTCATCTATCCCCATGGGTTCACACACTGACACTGGCCAGTGGGAAAAGCAATCTGTATGTAGGACGGGGGGGGATGGCGGGGGGGACTCCAGAACAAAGTGCTGCAATTTTCTTGTTTCATCATTACTGAGTAAAGTTCTACTGATCCTTTTTTTTTTACATTTATTTATTTTTAGATTTTTTTAAATGTTTATTTTTATTTTTGAGAGAGAGATACAGAGTGTGAGCAGGGGAGGGGCAGAGAGAGAGGGAGACACAGAATCCAAAGCAGGCTCCAGGCTCCAAGCTGTCATCACAGAGCCTGATGTGGGGCTTGAACCCACGAACCATGAGACCATGACCTGAGCCAAAGTCGGAGGGCCAACCGACAGAGCCCCCGCAGGTGCCCCTCTCAAAATAAACTTTAAGAAAGATCTGTCCCTAGAAATGTTATTGGGACAAATGGACCTTCTAAGACTGGAGACAATGGCATACAGACTACTCAGACCGGACCTGGGGACAGAGGCTGGACAGAGTTTGGGGCGCCAGATGTTTATTAAGGATGAGCTCCTGTGCAGGGGAGAGTGAAGAGAGGATCGGGCAGAGGAAGACCTCAGACTGCAGTGAAAGCCTGATAGAGCTGAGCCCGCCCCGCCCAGGAGCCCTGGAGAAAGCATCGCTCCCAAGCCCATCCTGCTTTGCGCTGAAATGGCCCCTTTCATTCAGACAAGAGATGCTGGTGTTCCAGGAAGGGTAGGACTTTGGGGGTTGGGGGTCTCAGCAGGAGACAGTTTGCCTTCTGCTGGGTTTACATTTCTTTCTCTCCCACACCACTTTTACTTAAATAAACTTTACTGTTCGTATCACTCATTCGCTGTGCTGTGTCCTTGAATTCTTTCTTGAGACAAGACAACCTTTTGGTGACATCTTTGGGAGAGGCAGGGTCAAGGCCTCAGGGTCCGGGGTTCCCCACCTCCCCTCACCCAGCAACACAAGACATTGATTTGATCAACTCCGTTGTTTAAGCAGTGGAGTACAGGTGAGGAAAAATTGTGACAAAGATGGAAAAATCTGGAGAGGAAGCACGAGGCAGAGGGGAAAGAGAAAGCACTTCATGATGCTCCCACGATGACTCCCCTTTCCAGCCTCACCGCAAGTCTTTGCGTCTTTCTGCCCCCATCTCCTTCCCCTGGGGAGCCCGTGCCCTACCCTTCTATCTACCCTGTGAGGGCTGGCCCTGCTGGCTGAGAACCTGTCTGTGAATGTCACCCCCAGCTTCTGTTCCCAGTTCCTCAGGCTAGAGTGTCCTGGGGGGCGGGGCGGGGAGGTCTTTAGGCCTCTTTCCCATGGGATCATTCCCTGCGATCTTCACTTGTGTTTTCTCAGCCCAGGACACCAAGCATGCGCAGTCAGTGACACCCCTACTGGTATAGATGACCATTTCGTTTAACACAAATGTTGGCAGTTGTCCTTCTACGAAGATATGACCCTACTTTAGTCTGGAAGGGAGAACCTTCCCACTGGCCACAGACCAGGGAAGCTGCAGGGTGCGGAACAGTGCTGCGCGCGGGGGGGGGGGGGGGGGGGGGGGGGGGGGGGGGGGGGGGGGGGGGGGGGGGGGGGGGGGGGGGGGGTACAGGTGAGCCGGGCCCTGTGCAGCCAGGACCCACGCTGGGCAGGGGCGTGTCCTTGTGTGGCGGATAAGCTGCGTTCAAAATGCAACAAACACAGAAGCAAATCTAGAATGTGTTGCTAGGTTTGTTTACAGCCCTTTGGTTTCTCTAACCTTTAGTGAAGTCTTTGGCGCGCTCCAGCGTGGCGTCAGCTGTTAGGAAGCAGCGGGAGAGTATCTTCCTCCAGATGAGAGCCCAGGCGGGAGAGTAGCGGACCTTGAAGCCAGGTGGGAACCATCCGGGAAGCCGGAAGGGGACAGTACCTCTCTGGCAGCACGAGCTGGGGGCCCGGTGATGTGGGCGCCCCTTCGCGCGCGCCCGCAGCCCCGCCTCGCAGTGCCCCGCCGGGAGGTCTGGTCGAACTTATTAAGGAAGGCCTGTGTGTTCCTGCGGGGCGGCCGCTGGGATAGGCAGGCGGCCCCGGAGTCTCTGGCCACAGGGAGGTCACCGAGCACGCCTCCTAGGAAAGGACAGAAATACCGAACGCATCTCTCCGGGGACGGAAGGCTGCATGTGTCTCTCTGCCAGCTGTGCGGGTGCGCTCCCTGCGCGAGCGCTGAAGAGACAGGCCACCAGACCGCCACGCTCCCACCCACCGTCCCCGTCCCTCGGGAGCCATTTGAGAGTGACATTTCCGGCTGTGGGGTCTCAGCGCTTCTCCCGATGGCCATGCTCGCTCTTCCTGCCCCCTCCACCCTCTCCTCTGCCTCCCTCTAGCTTCCTGTTCCATGTACGGGCACACACCTTTCCACCCTGTCCCCAGAAATCGATTATTGCGCAAACCACCTAGTAGGATAACCGGGGGAGACTGGATGTGCAAGTTTTTAAAGATTTCTTTAAAGTAGGTTTCACTTCAAATCCTCCCCGGGTTACCCAGACCCAAGTTTATCTCCACCAAAGTCCGTTCATTGTTTCCTTTATTTGAGTCAGATATCATGGGACTCACAGTCCCATTCTTTAAACTTCCGGCTGTTTGTGTCCACGTGCTTGCCCAGGGAAGGGGGAGGGTCTGTCTAGACGCGCGGGCACACTCTGGGCTGCGACCGCTGCCCTCCCCCCTGCCCCCCCCCCCCAGGGCTTCTGGTGTCCTTTCGGCAGCCGCCTTCTAGTTCCTGACACAGCAGCTCTAAATGTCTTCTAAATATCTATCATTTTGAATGTACGAAGTTCCTTTTTTCTTAGGACCAGAGCCCAAAGAGATTTCTAAGTTCCACCGTTTCTGTTTTTGCAGTTCCTTGTATATAATCATACAGAAGATGGTGTCCACCAAAAATATCATTCCCACTGCCAGATAGAAAAGGATGTGAAACCAAATAGGAGTTGGTGCCTGGGGGCCTGAAAAAGAAAATGACAAAGAGAAGAAATGCTAGTTAGAGCCCGGCGGGCCCTGGCAGATTTCTGTCTGGGAGAGAAGGCGAGCCAACACCCATCCGCCTGTCCCCCGTCCACCTGTCCCCAGCGGGGTTGCAAGGAGGTGGCCCACCGGGCCCCGGGGTGTAACCATGTGTGGCTGCCTGCTCGCTGGGGCTCAGGGGCGAGGGCCGTGGCAGCGCGCCTTCCCAGTTTCTGACATAGATGCTATTTCTACACCATTTACTGCTGGAGATGATCTGGGGTTGAAAATATACTTCTTTCCCCGGACAGTCTTTGTTTGGAGCTCCCAGTCTCTGCCCCCCGGCCAGATAGACACTCGGGCGTGTCTTTACTGGCAGTCCACAAAATCCCGATCTCCCCCAATCTACTGCGTGAGCCCCAGCAAACAGGAACTGCACCCCAGTGAGTTCCTATCCCCGGACCCAGGACACTAGATGGGAAGAACTCACTATATTGCTGCTCAGACTTTTGGGGTTGGGGGCAGGAATGAGGGGGAAAGGAGAGGAGAGAAAATGAAAAATGAAGAAGGACAAAAGGAAGGAAACAAATGGAGAAAGGAAAAGAAATGTCATGAAGTCTATGAGAATAGGGAAATGATGAACCAAGAGAGGAGAGGAGCCCGGGTGGCTCAGTCGGTTAAGCGATCGACTTCCACTCAGGTCATGATCGCAGGGTTTGTGGGTTCGAGCCTCACGTAGGGTTCTGTGCTGACAGCCTGGAGCCTGCTTCCGATTCTGTCTCCTCTCTCTGCCCCTCCCCCGCTCACACTCTGTCTCGGTCTCAAAAATAAATACAAAGAAAAAAAAGAGAAAGCCCTGTTCATGGGTTTTTCCTGACTAGGCCACGAAGTCCCCTTAACCAGCCCTCAGCCCCAGAGGGGAAAAGGGAGCATCTTCCTCTGGGCCTGACAACACCCCCCACCCCCCCACTCACCGAGGACCTGAAGCTCCACCTCAGAGCTGCGCCTGACGACAGCGCCATCTCCTGTGGCAGCCTCACACCAGTAGAGCCCCGAGTCCTCTGTCCTAGCACTTAGTATCTGGAACCCGGAGGAGGCATTCCTGTGCATCAGGGCCGTGTCGCCCACGTAGAAGGAGAAGTAAAGCTGCAACCCAGGCCTCTGTAGCAGCAGCTTCGTCTCGCAGCTCAGGTTGACCAGCTGCCCCTCCAGGATGGGTAATGACAAGGATGCTTTTAGCACTGGGGCCGGAAATAGCTCTAAAGAAAAAGTCAATGGGAACAGGGTTGCCTGCTTCAGTGTCAAGGTTCTTTTTACAGAAGACACACCCCCTTCCTCCTGGGGAACCCTGCCCTGGAGAATGCCCACAGACCATTCCCCCTTCACCTCCTGCAGAGAGACATCTTGGGGGCTCCTCATAGAGTGCCAGCTTCCTCGCTTGCTACCGGGGGGGAGCACCTCCTCACAGCCCGTGCCCCCATGAATAGCCATGTTACTGGCCAGATGACTGTGCCCTTTTGGTATCGGGTGCCCGGCAGTGGACACTGACCCAGGCTAGCCAGTTCAGTGACTCGTTGCTTGTGTTACTGCCTCAAAAGATAATCTGGGACAGCCCTCTCTTTCCTGTAGGAACGGATTATTTTTCAGCCATAAAAGAGCTGGTAGTAGTTATGAGCACTAACACGGAAGAGTCACCATGAAGGCCACGTGCAAGCTGGAACGGAGGAAAGTGCTTAGTTAGCAGAGAGGCCACATTGCCCCTGCGAGGCAGGAAGTGTAACCAAGTCCTGATGCCGTTATGGCTTCCATTTCTATGGACACTGTATGAGGCTGCACTCAGTTATTTTCTAATAACTCTCCTGCCCATCTGGAGTGAGTCTCTATTCCTTGCACCTAAAACAAAACTGACGAACTAGCCCCTCACGATGCCCTCGCCTCCACCTGTAGCTCCAGGGATTGCTAACGGGGTGTTGTAGCTTCCTGGAAAGAGCAACAGACAGACCCAGAAGACTTCAGTTCTGGTCCCCTCCATGCCGCTGATCACTGCATGGCCTTCAGTGAGCCAGTGACCTCTTTGGAGCTTGCAAGTGGAAGCGATGATTTATGATGGTCCTTAAAACTACAGCTCTAGGACGATTCAGACACATACCTTGTACAGTGATGGGGACTCCTGGTGATACGTAGAGTTGCCTCCCCATGACTGAGCAGTGATAGACGCCACTGTGACTCAGGTTGGTTTTCAGAATGGTGAACTCAGAATTCTGAGGAGAAAACTTAAAGGCCTTGTCGTTTTGGTAGAAAACCACATTGTACACCAGCTTATTCTTCCATCCACGACACCTCATTGTCAGAGGTTCCCCTTCCGTGACGACTCTGCTTTGGACCTGGAGTAGCACCCAATCTGCAAAATGCAGACCCCAAATGAATGCACACAGCGTACACAGCAGCAGAGGTGCCAGCTGGGCCCTGGGGGCTTTCTTCTCTTTTCCTCTTTGTAACGGTCCAGCCTCCTATCGCTGCCGAATTCGAGGCCCGTTGCCCATCAAATACCCTTAGCTCTGACGGGAAGAAAAGTCTTTGCCAGCAGCAGTGCACATAGCCCCTTCTTATATTCCCTTTCCAAATTTCAGAAGTGGGTTGGGACAAAAACTTAACCCTACGTGGGAAGCAGAGTTCTAAGATGACCCCGATGAGTCACACTCCTGTCTAATCCCCTTGAATGTGGGTAGAGCCCGTGACTTTCAACAGAACGTGACAAAGGTTATGGGATGTCTCTTCCATGATGACATTACATCTGATAACTCTGTCGGAGCTGCCTGGACTGAGAGGGTCTCCCACTGGCCTCGAAGACGTGAGCTGCCGTGTTGGGAGTGGGCCACATGGGCAGGGGCCCGACCCCAGAGCCGAGACTGGCCTCCAGCTGACAGCCAGCAAAGAGGTGGGGACCTCAGGTCTACAACGTAAGGAACTGAACGCTGCCAGTGCCCACGGAGCTCGGCAGAGCTGCAGGAAGGAACTCAGCCCAGCCCCCACCCTGACTGCAGCCTGTGCGGGCCACCCAGCCAAGCCGTGCTGGTCCCTGACCCGCGGGGAGACAATGAATGTGTGTTGTTTTAAGCTGCCTTGTTTGTGGTGATTTGTTACACGGCGATGAAAAACAAATACACTCCAACTCCTGCCTCAGTTATTAATGGGATCCCACCTGCTGAGACAAACACACAGCACAGCAAACACATCCAGATGAATGTATGCTTCACAACTGACAGAGGACAAACACATCTGCGCAGACCGGTGGCAGAGCTGGTAAAAACAAGCCCCACGTCCAAGGGGCCCTCCGTCATGATGCTCACCTCTACACACAACTGAAAATGCATCCTTTTTCCTTCCCTGGGGCACGTGGTGTGGCTACATGAGGATGTGGTTAAAAGACAAAAGAGGAGAAGGGACAGGAGTGCCGTTTCCCCCTCCGGAACTTACCTAAGAACGGGCAGCGGCGTTCCGGTACCACACGTAGCATAGTTTTTATAGTTGTGGACGCCGCCATAGGGTTTCTAAGTATAATGAATACTCTTCCCTCCCTTCTTCTCGTTCCCAGCAAAGCCCAGAGACTACACTGCCCAAACACACCGGCGCTTGGCTTCACACGCCCGCAAACTTGGCGGGAAATTTGAATATACCTCCATCAGAAACTGTCAAAAACACTAGTAATGACATCAAATATTTGAATGACACAATTAATAGAGTTGATTCTGTAGGTTTATACACAATGCTATGGCTTAGAGAAAATTCATGTGCTTTCCAAGAACACATGCAACACTTATAAGCCTGGAGCACCTACTGGGCCACAAGTGGCTTTCAACAAATACCAAAGACCTGATGTCATGTTTAGCATAAATTATCACCAAAATGTCATAAAATCAGAAAATGATAACAGAAGCCACTCTCCTAAAACACTTCTAAATAATTCATAAAGAAAAAGAAAAAAGAAATACGTGCATGCTAATGAAAAAAAATGAAAAACATTTACCCGTAAATGACCACAGGAGTATTATATGTGAAAACGTGTAGGATGCAGCTTTTAGACATCATCCATTTCCTACTGAAAAGCCGTCCTCGCCGCCTGGGAGCAGGATGGGGACACTCACTCTCAGCCACAGAATTAGGGCACAGGTCCTCCACCCTGAATTCTCGTGGCCTCCAGCACACACACATTTAAATGACGTGCCTGAGAGCTAGCATAACTGCGGCTGAATTCTCCACTACTGACTCCCTGTGGCAAAAGACTATTTTAGTGTTTGTTATTTATTTTTGAGAGCAAACGAGCACGCGTTGGGGAGGGGCAGGGAGAGAGGGAGACAGAGAATCCCAAGCAGGCCCCACGCTGCCAGCGCAGAGCCCACAAACCGGGAGATGCTGACCTGAGCCGAAATGAAGTGTCGGACCTTAACCGACTGAGCGGCCCAGGTGCCCCTGTGGCAAAACACTATTAACTAGAGCCTAGTGGGCTCCAGCCCCAAAACCTGATGTGCTGTTTTCACTGAAAAAGGAAAACAACATAGATAGCAAAGGACAAGCCATAGAGTGGAAGATACTTGCAACCCATGAAAAAGGACTCATCTCCAAAATCTAGAGCTCCTACAAGCCCGTAAGGAAAGACAACCATAAAGAAAGATTGGCAAAACACCTAGACAGGTACTTTACAAAAAGAGGATATCCAAATAGGTGATAAACGTGGAAAATGCTCAGTATCACGAGTCATTAGGGAAATGCAAATTAAAGCTACGGGATAGCTCCTGCACATGCACCAGCATGGCTACAATGAAAAACACAGAAGCCACTGAATGTTGAGGAGGAGGAGAAGCAACCAGAATTCCCACGCGGCACGGGGGAGCGGGGAGGGGGGTAACCACTTTCTAACACTGCAGCTGAATGAATATATGCACATTTTGTGACCCAGCCATTCCACACGTGTGTACATATGTGCACCAAAAAATGTGAATACAAATGTTCACAGTGAGGGCGCCTGGCTGGCTCAGTCAGTGGAGCGTGCAGCTCTTGACCTCGGGGTTGTGCGTCTGGGCCTCACGTTGTGTGTAGAGTACTTAAAAAATAAAATCTTTACCACAAAAGTGTCCACAGTGGTACTATTTCTAAGAAGCCCAGACTGGAAACAACCAAGAACGCATCAGTACCATGAACAAACACATGAGTGCACACATACCGTACCGTAGCCGTTTATATGAAGAAGTTAAAGGACAGGCGGAAACCTATGGTGTTAGAAGTCATTGTCCAGGGCAGTGACTAGAAATGGGGAAGAGGGAGTTTCCGTGATTTTGGAAATGTTCTGTTTCTTGCTCTGCGTGCTGCACATTTCGTGAAAAGTCACTGCGGCGTACACTTAGGGTCTGTGGTATGTGTGTTACACTTCAATAAAAATTCACAATAAAATGTAAGAGCTCCATAATATGATAATATACTATATAATACAACATTAAAAACGTAAAAGGTATTATTCTCAGTAAGGCACCAGGGCTGGGGCTTCTGGAGTCTGCGCAGAGGTAAATTAAAAATGGCCTCTTCCCAGCGCTGCTTCACTTTTGGTCACTTGAACCACGAAACACCACTGCTTCTGCCTGACCTACAGAGTCTCTCGCTAAACCAGCTCTGTTGGCTCCCCTCGCACCTGCAGCCCCAGATCTGGCTCCCAGAGTCCTAAGAGACTCACGAGGAACAGCTAGCACTTCCTCTGACGTTCCCAGTATTTCCTGGCCTAAAACCCATTTCCTCTGAAAGCAACCTAGTCCACATAAATCTACTTCTGCCCCCCAGAATTCACGGAGATGAACTTTTACATGATCAATCACAAAGACGTTTTGCCTTAATGGTCTTGAATAACAAAAGAACACATTTCAATGATTTGTACTGACAATGAAACATTTTGCCCCGAAGAGTATCGCAGTTTCCATTTCTTAACAAATAGAAACCTTTTACAGATTTAAGTGGATAGTGGGGTTTCCCCCCCTTCTTCTATCCATTGATGTTTAAAATGCTTAAAGTCTCACAGTGATTTCATGTCCAGAATATTATCTTACAGATACACTATGAAATGTGCCCCAGACTACATGTATAGAGATGTGTATTTGCTTGTAAAAAACAAAACACTGGAAATACAATAGAAGGTCACTGCTAGGGAGAATGGCTAAATCAGGTCTAGCACAGCCAGCCATATTGGCCGACCTCTGAAAGTTTGCGGCAGATTGATCTCTATTGATTTAAACAGACCTCCAAGGTATTTTAAGTGATAAAAGCAAGGTGTAGGCTGGTACATAGAGCAGTCTACCAACCACTTTTTAAGTTCATAAATAGTAATAGTTTTGTTTCTACAGAAGGTGACTGTGGGGCTTAGGGGTTTGCGACGGGAGAGAGACTTCCCTGTTCGTCATTGTTCATTTCTCTGAATTCTTATTTCCTATGTTCAGGAATAACATTTTCAACAGAGTTAGATCATTTTAAATAAATCTTCAGGTCTAAGTTTTACTCTAGACACCTTGCTCACAGCTGTCCCAAATGGTGTGCTGTCAGGACACAGTTTAAGTTTAAGGGTCCTTAAGTTTAAAGCCCTAATGTGACATTCTGAGCATCTTGACTTAATTTCAGCTGGCAGGCACATAGAGCTGACAGTCATACACACTCCAGTAAATCACCACACACAACCTGGCATCCGGAAAGGAGAAAACACAAAGGAAGACCTTGTGATTTTCAGCTCTCCTGCGCCATGCCATACTTACCTACGTGGATTTCCAGCTGTACTGGGTCACTCAGCACCGAAAGACCCATCTGGCACCTGTATTCACCACTGTCATTGACACTGGCAGCGACGATTCTGTATGTGGGGGTCAAGGTCTGAAAGGCTGTGCCATTGAGATACCACTGTGTGGAGCTGTGCCCGGGCAGATGGGGCCCCTCGCACGATAAGGTTACATCCTCCTCTTGAAATACAATGACCCATGGAGGCTGCAAGGTGATCACTGCCTTTGTAAGGTCTCCTTGGGGATCAACAAAAACAAACAAGGGGAACAAAAGGCAAGTCTGAACAACTGGGCAGTTTTCATGGATCCTACAAAGAAAAATCCATGTATTTAGAGGAGACTGAAAAATAAGCGGGAACCTATAAATTTTTTTAAATGTTTTATTTCTAGGAGAGAGAGAGAGAGACAGCTGAGCAGGGGAGGGTCAGAGAGAGAGGGAGTCACAGACTCTGAAACAGGCTCCAGGCTCTGAGCTGGCAGTCAGCACAGAGCCCAACGCGGGGCTCAAACCCACAAACTGCGAGATCATGACCTAAGCAAAAGTCGGACACTTAACCAACTAAGCCACCCAGGCGCCCCAAGTGGGAACCTATAAACACCAGCCACTGAGACTGTCCAGACCCCACGCAGAGAACTCTGTTCATGTTATTAAATCTGCATCTGGGTGTTGGAGATTTGGGGGTCCTGAGAAATAAATGATTAATTTAGTGATCACGGTCGGTAAACAAAGAAGCAGGGATGTAAGCTAAGGCGAGCTGACTGGGGCTGGTTTTTGATCCTCTGCACTATACTGTCTCTAGGTTAATCTCAGGCCTTAATGAGCATCTGCTTTGGAAACCAAGGCTCAAACTCCTCACTTCAAAGCTATCGGTCTCAGCTTTTTTCTAAAGGGGACTGGTTTGGGGAAAACCCAGCAGAGATACTTGTATGTTTTTGCAATTCTGGCCTTTTCCTGCTATTATGTACACACACGGGCATTCAGTTCAGAGGTTAAAGCTTTTTCAGAAAATCTTAGCAACCTCCAAACCCAGGATTTTATCAAGGTCATCTGCTAAATATAGGGGATTTTACATAATTTGTAAATCTTTATTGGCTTCCTATCCTCTCTTCTTCAGGATAACAAAACTCATCCTTTAGAAGCAGGAATGTGGCGGAGGAAGAGAAACTGAGTTTAAGATTACTCACCCACTTGTGCACCAGCTGGAACTGTAAGAGACCAAAGGACAGAGACACAAGTTGGTCAGTGGGAGATGACAAAGAAGGGAGGATCAAGGAGACAAAACTACTGTAGACTCTGAGGGGCCAGCTTAAGTCTCTGGAGTCTTTCTTTACTCCCTTCCCCCAAATCAGGTACTAGAGGTACTGAAGAGTCTATTAATGAGGCTTTATTTTGACACGATGCTTCCCCGCTTAATGTTACCTCGAAGTCTCTCTTCCCAACCTATTGACATAACGAGCACGAATAAACCACGGAAGCCCAAATATGGCTGTCCGCATACCCCTGAGTTCTAGCCGGTGATACCAAAGGAAGACAAAAAGTCTGGAGTCCCCAGAGCCAGTGCCCTTCTAACTATCCCCTCTAAGCCCAGCTTACCCCAAAGCAGCAGAGCCGACAGAAGCCACATGCTATCTCCAAGCTGATGGGAGCAGCAAAGTCTGTAACATGCAAGACATTGAAGAGCTTCTGCTGAAGGTTCTGGAGCCAAGATTAGAAAAGAGGAAGGAAGCTGTTTCTTCCGACCACTTTCATCACACTTTTCTGGGAAATACATCCTTAATTCTTGAGTCATTCTCTCCTCATTCTCAATGTCTTAGCCTATCTCCTATCCCCTAGTTTGAAGCTCTGGGTTTGGGATTTATGAAATTCTCAGAATTCAAGGGAAAGACTAAAGTTTTTATTGATATTCTATTCTGACGGTATTCTCCCTTTACTAATTCTGTTTCTTGGGTCTAAAATATGGCAAATCCTCATTTCTATGTTTTTAAATGTTTGTTTATTTTTGAGAGAGAGAGACAGCACGACAGGGGAGGGTCAGGGAGAGAGGGAGAAACAGAAACTAAAGCAGGCTCCAGGCTCTGAGCTGTCAGCACAGAATCTAATGTGGGGCCCAAACTCAAGAACCACGAGATCATGACCTGAGCTGAAGTCAGATGCTTAACTGACTGAGCCACCCAGGCACCCCGGGCAAATCCTCATTTCTAAAACTGGTCCAAAGACTGGCCAGTGCCTCTAAGACTTTATCATTTGAATCCAGATTATTCTGTATCAACCTGTACGTGACATGTGACGAGTAACTCATTTATAAGAGCTCCCCTATTACAATCCAGCCTGTATTCCTCTGGGAACACATGCAGAATCAATGTCCCACTTTTTTTTTTAAAGCCACCCCCCCCAAAAGACATTATGAATTTGAAGTGTTTATTTTGGCTACATCTGAGGAAATTAACTGTTTAATGTAAATGTTGTAGAGAAGAAAAGTAACTCCTATGTATGAATGGAAATATCCCTCTTAGGGGATATTTATGGGGAGAAGCTTTATGCTGTAAAGTGAGTTGGTTCCTGAGGCAGAGATGTAAAGATATAAATGGATTTTTAGGTATTCCATTCAGAGAGAAAGAAAATTAAACAAACTAGAATGCGTTAAATGAGTGCAAGCAGGGACCTGGGTAGCAATCTCAGCAGCAGAGAATTAAAATGATGACAAATAATGCTGTAGATTCGATTACTGGCCCCAATTTCTCTCTCCCCCCTTCCTGAATCAGCACTGCCCCTGGAGAGGCTGAGGACACTTCCCTGACCTTTGGCTTTGGCTCATCCACATGACTTTCAGTAGCTAACGAAATGCGGATAAAAGGGCATGGTGCTCATTCTGAACCCCACCTTGTGCTTCTGACTGTCGCAATGAGAACATGCTCTGACTAGCTGGCCATCATACCCTGAAGGAGAGCTGCCCGAAAGGGCCTGCAAAACTTTGAAAAATAAATGCGTCCTACTATATGTCACTGATTTTTTGAGATTATTATAGATCACTAGCTGACTGACACAATTAAAAGCAAGGAAGAAAGGTCTAGGAAGGACTCAGGGTGTTCTGAGACAGACGGAAGAAACCCCAGGTCACTGAAATTTACATTCAAAGCCTATATTCATAGTTATTACACTATTTTATAGTTTTCCACTGGGTAGCTGTATCATAATTTATTTCACCAACCTCTCTTCATGGGCATGGAGGTTATTTCCAATGTTGAACTGTTATGACCAGCACTGCAATAAATAGTCTACTACCTACCTTTTATTATTTTCAGAGGACACATTCCTAGAACCAACATTGCTCAGTCCAAGGAAATGCACTTTTGTTTTTCTTTAGATAGATGTCTGATTATCTGTTGTCATTATCATCATTGCCTATATTTGTAGAGTGTTATTATGTGCCAGGCAAACATACTTGCTATGACTTTTCTTACTTAACCCTCCCAATATACTATGAGTAGACACTCTTGTCTCCGTTTTGCAAATGAGGAAACTAGGGGTACCTGGGTGGCTCTGGCCATTAAGCCTCTGGCTCTGGCTCAGGTCCTGATCTCACGGTTCATGAGCTCTGCAGAGCCCCATGTTAGGCTCTGTGCTGACACCTCAGAGCCTGGAGCCTGCTTCAGATTCTGTGTGTCTTTCTCTGTTTCTCCTCTGCTCATAATCTCTGTCTCTTTCTCAAAAGATATCTCAAAATAAACATTTTTTCAAATGAGGAAACTAATCAAATACTTTTGTGTCTTTTTTAATATTCATATGATCTTCCAATGTTACGCAGATATTCATATCATCTGCTAATGTTTATTTCCTCCTTTCCAATCCTTATATGGTTATTTTTCTGTAGGATTTGAGTAGATATATTTTTCTCAGGAAATAATGCTTTATTTCTCAGTTTGCTAAATCACAAATGGATGTTAAGTTTTATTGAATGCTTTTACTCTATAAAGGGAGATAATGTGCTTTTCCTCCTTAAATTTGCTAATGTGGCTAATTATATTTAAATTTACTATTGTTGGGGCGCCTGGGTGGCTTAGTCGGTTAAGCGTCCGACTTTCGCTTGGGTCATGATCTTGCGGTTCGTGGGTTCGAGCCCCAGGTGGGGTCTGTGCTGACTGCCGCCTCAGAGCCTGGAGCCTGTTTCAGATTCTGTGTCTCCCTCTCTCTCTGATCCTCCCCTGCTCACGCTGTCTCTCTCTCTCCTAGAAATAAATAAAAATATTAAAATAAATAAATAAATAAATAAATTTACTATTGTTAAAAATACTCTTATGTTCCTGAGTAAATCTGATTTCATCACGATTTATCATATATTTTTAGATATTAATGAATTTGGCTTGCCAATGATTTGTACTTGAGATTTCTGCATTTACATTCATCATAAATTGCACCAGAAGTTTGCCAACACTATTAGTCTTTTCAAAGAACCAACTTGAGATTTTGTAAATTTTACTTATTGTATCTTGATTTTTGTATTTTAATTATTTTTTCCTCTTATTTGCTTATTTATTTTTGAGAGCGCAGGAGTGGGAGCAGGGGAGTAACAGAGAGGAAGAGAGAAACTCAAGCAGGCCCCATGCCCACCACAGAGCCAACACAGGGCTGGGCTCCATTTCAGGACTGTGGGATCATGACCTGAGCCAAAACCAAGAGGCAGATGCTTAACCGACTGAGCCACCCAGGCTCCCCTGTTCTTATCTTTAGTATCTTCTTTCTCCTCCTTTCTTTGGATTTATTGTCTCCTTCTACTCATTTTAAATCTCATGCTAACGCTATTAATTTTAGCCTTCACTTTTTAAAAATAACTTATTTTTAAATTTTACATCCAACTTGTTAGCATATAATGCAACAATGATTTCAGGAGTAGATTCCTTAATGCCTCTTACCCATTTAGCTCATGCCCCCTCCCACAACCCCTCCAGTTCTCTATATTTAAGAGTCTTTTATGCTTTGTCCCCCTTCCTGTTTTTATATTATTTTTGCTTCCCTTCCCTTATGTTCATCTTTTTTTTATTTCAAATTCCTTATATGAAATATAAGAAATATTCTAATTCTTTAGAAAAATTTTTAATGTTTTTATTTTATAGGGAGAGAGAGTGTGAGCAGGGAAGGGTCAGAGAGAGAGGGAGACACAGAATCTGAAACAGGCTCCAGGCTCTGAGGTGGCAGTCAGCACAGAGCCCAATGCGGGGCTCAAACCCATGAACCATGAGATCATGACCTGAGCTGAAGTCGGACACTTAACCAACTGAGCCACCCAGGTGCCCCTGTCCTTCTCTAATTTTGCTTAGCATAACACCCTCTAGTTCCATCCGTGTGGTTGCAAATGGCAAGACTTCATTCTTTTTGATTGCTGAGTAATACTCCATTGTATATACATACCACAGCTGCTTTATCCATTCCTCCATCAATGGACATTTGGACTCTTACCATACTTTAGCTATTGTCAATAGTGCTGCACTGGGGTGCATGTGCCCCTTTGAAACAGCACGCCTGTATCCCTTGGATACATACCTAGTAGTGCAATTGCTGGTCATAGGGTAGTTCCATTTTTAATTTTGTGAGGAACCTCCATACTGTTTTCCAGAGCAGCTGCACCAGTTTGCATTCCCACCAGCAGCACAAATGAGATCCTCTTTCTCCACATCCTCGCCAATTTCAGTTGTTGCCTGAGTTGTTAATGTTAGCCATTCTGACAGCTGTGAGGTGGCATTTCATTGTGGTTTTGTATTTCTCTGATGATGAGTGACGTTGAGCATTTTTTCATGTGTCAGTTGGCCATGTATCTAGGTATCTTCTTTGAAGAAGTGTCTATTCACGTCTTTTGCCCATTTCTTCACTGGATTTTGTTTTTTGGGTGTTGAGTTTGATAAGTTCTTTATAGATTTTGGATACTAACCCTTTATCTGATATGTCATTTGCAAATATCTTCTCCCATTCCATCTGTTGCCTTTTAATTTTGCTGACTGTTTCCTTCACCGTGCAAAAGATTTTTATTTTGATGAGATCCCAACAGTTCACTTTTGCTTTTGTTTCCCTTGCCTCCAGAGACGTGTTGAGTAAGAAGTTCCTGTGGCTGAGGTCAAAGAGGTTTTTGCCTGGTTTCTCCTCTAGGATTTTGATGGCTTCCTGTCTTACATTTAGGTCTTTCATCCATTTTGAGTTTATTTTTGTGTATGGTGTAAGAAAGTGGTCCAGGTTCTCTTTTCTGCATGTCACTGTGCATGTCGCTGTCCAATTCTCCCAGCACCATTTGTTGAAGAGTCTTTATTCCATTGGATGTGCTTTCCTGCTATGTTAAAAATTAGTTGGCCACACATTTGTGGGTCCATTTCTGGGTTCTCTATTCTGTTCCACTGATCTGTTTTGTGTCAGTACCATACTTTCTTGATGATCATAGCTTTGTAATATAGCTTGAGTCTGGGATTGTGACACCTCCAGCTTTGGTTTTCTTTTTCAAGATTGCTTTGGCTATTTGGGATCTTTTCTGGTTCCATACAAATTTTAGGATTGTTTGTTCTAGCTCTGTGAAGAGTGCTGGTGTTACTTTGATAGGGATTGCTAGCCTTCACTTCTAATATACAAGTATAAGAGTTTCTATTCTAAAATAATTTTTTAACGTTTTTATTATTGAGAGACAGAGAGAGACAGAGCATGAGCATAGGAGGGGC